TTTCCTTCCCCCCTTGGACCTTTCCGAACCTGAGCCTTCCAAGTTGGAAGGTTGTTGGTTTGCGCCTTGGAGAAGTGTTGGAGCTAGGTGTCAGGTCGCCGAATGTCTCAGTACTCCTTGTCAGTTTTGTGCCATTTTGTCGCACTCGCTGACTGTATAAGATCTGGTTACGTTGGTGGACAGTTTAATAGTCATAACTCGTAACATTTTGTCCTTCTTCTTTTCACAATTATTTAATTGGCTCACCATCCGAGTTACATTATAACCGTTAGTGTTGGACAAAACGGAAAACTTGTAAACTGTTGGTCCTCTTTTTTTAAATAATTAATTGTTCCTTGAACTTTTTCGTGGCCATGTCTTCAGATTGATTACTGGCAAATCAAAATGAATTCAAAACTCAATATAAATACGCACGATGCAAGATGATTTTTTGCGCATGCGCAAAAATATGTTAACACAGAAGGCGCATGCTCTGTTCCCAACAAACTCTCACGCGCTCATTATTCTCCGAAGTCGACTGTTCCTGATTTCAGTTCTTGCTTTGTCCACATTGGCAGTGGATTTCTTTCTCAACCCACCCACCCACTCCACTATTGTCATCATCATGTTTCCTGTTCTAGTTCTCTCCTGTCGGTATCCATTATCATACCGGCCTACAATAACTACACCGATGCCGTCTACCGGCGAAACTCTGTAAATACAATGAGGGGAGTCAACCTTGCTTACCAGGCTCCTCATACGGCTCATTCAGCCTCTCACACTCGGACGGCTCACTCAGCCTCGGCTCACTCAGCCTCTCAATACGGCTCACTCAGCCTCCCCAGCCGGGCCCTGCCCGGCTGCCTCCATACGGCTCACTCAGCCTCCGCAGCAGGGCCCTGCCCAGCTGTGATACACACACATTCACACAGCTCTAAGCTGTCACTCACTCGGAGCCTGGCAAAGCAATTGACAAACCCTCCTATTCCCCAAACTGGTTGCTCGTTTTGTGAGTGCGGCATGCATATGCTTGTTTTAATAGTAACTTAGATCTATTTTGCGCTAAATATGGTCTAAGTTACTACTAAAAGGTCTTTTATTGAATGCACAAAGCAATGGCGATGTGAATGCAAGGAGAGCAAAGAATTCAAAAAGTGAACAGCAAAATTGTAGCAAAATTGAATGATAAAAAATATGAATAGCAACAGCAATGCTAACGCGAGTTAGCAACCAGCCCAGCGAGCTGGCCCGACCTGCGCGCATGCATGAGTCACATGGGCACGTGCCCTTCAATATCCTGTACAATGTCTCTTGCATGTCATTGCTGTTTTGACTTTCGAGCGTGCAACTAATATTACTTGCGGAACATGTGTTCCAAAACAATTTCCTTACTTTCGAGCTTGCATTCTCGTATCTCTACGCTTCAAATTCAGACTTTAATGACGCTTCTTGGTGCCTGAAACAATGGCGCCGTCTACAGTGGAACGTCGACTGTGGACTTTTAGCTTGCGCCGGCATCAGGTTTCCTGAAGTACCTCCACGCTTCAAATTCCGATCTCACCGACCCTGTTTGTGCCTTGAAACAGTGTCGTCGTCACCAACCAGCGTCCAGCCTCTGCGGAGCTCCTCGCTCTACCTGGCTCCGCCCCCCGCCTACTGCGAACGCAGCGACGGCCGCCACGCAGCACCAACACTGCAACAGCAGGCGCGAGCCTGACGATCGTAATGGGACGTATTCATCCATTTCCCGCCGTTAGGTTTTGCGGGGCAAGTCCACTACAACCGTACACACTGTAATACCAGCTCTGCATAAAAGGTCATGAACTTTGTACGGTCATACTCATAAATGTACTAGAATGGGTTGTACCTGCCAAAAATGGGGCAACTTGCCCCGCAAAAAAGGCGACGGCCATCTTCGATGCATACCTCCCATTCGTATCCAGAGAGGCGAGTTTGTGGACTTTGGTTTTCTGTTGGAAGTTCAACGCGCCGCGTCCACAGGCCGTCAACAACGCCACCCAGCTTCTCCTCGCTCTACTTGGATCCGTATCGCCGCTCGCCGCCAGCAGGCCGGACCCTACTGGGAGCGTGGTGCAGTGACGACCGCCATATGGAGCACCAACAGCAGCTGAACCTGACTGTCCTACGGGCCGGGCCCTTCTCGATCGTGTCCAGAGAACTGAGTTCGTGGACTTTGATTTCTTGCTGCCCGATACAGTTGCAGTCAGTTCTAGTGCAGCTCCGGTAACGTTCCAACTCCGTAGCCCTGGTTGCTCTTCCGGCGCACTAGCATTTATTTGGATCCGAACCCAGAACTAATTACTTGTTGTCGTAGGCTGCATGACTGTAGGACTTGGGTTGAGGCCTGGACAGTGTTCATGAATGGTCTGTGTTCCGCTGTCCCTCAGCTCGTTTCACGAGTGCCTGTCGACGTATCTGGCCACGATCGCCGCGGTCAATCGCCAGTTAAAGTTCTTGCCCGAAGCACAGCCAGGGTGTCACAACCCGGCAAGAATCTGGACGTTATCAATACTCAATCCGCCGACAGAACTGTTTCGTCCTTTGTGGACTCATCAGCGCAGCACAGAGGAAATGAGGCCGAACCTGATACAGTGATAGCAATGGAAAATCCAGGTTATCAGCATCAACTTGTGGCAATTCCGCTTCACTACGTACTGGAACAGCACGGCCCGCCTGCCAGCAGTGCAGCTCAATGCACCCGCCAGCATTTCCGTGCGCATTTAGTCCAGATTCGCATCACGTACCGCAACCGTATGCCGCCACTACGAGTACGGCGCTTGCACGTGTCAGCTCAGGCAGTGCTGCCAGCAGTGCAGCTCAGTGCACCCGCCAGCATTTCCGTGCGCATTTCGTCCCACTCACCAGTCCAGATTCGCATAATGTACCGCAACCGTATGCCGCCACTACGAGTACGGCGCTTGCACGTGTCAGCTCAGGCAGAGCTTCCTCCAGTGCCGACTGGAGCACCCCAGGGCTAAGTGTAAGGCCTAGTCAGAAACTGTGTAAGCACTCAGTTTCTCACTTCTCTAACTTACTGGACTCATATCCTGATCCTATGCCCCGGATGTATGTTGCACATGGTCGTAATTGTGGTGTTGTAGTAGGTTTCATCGGCAACCACTCAACTAACTGAGATCCACCGAACTTAACACGGTCACATGCTAACCCAGATTACATTTCTGCTCAACGATCCGTTTCTTGCAGCAGGCTTGAAACAGCTGGCCCATGTTCTGCACCCCCTTTCCCGTCTCTGTACTGTTCCGGCGTAGATGCGGTTCCTAGACGAACGGAAAGTTACACACGACAAACCATTTGTAAAGGCCGGAGGGTCAAAGTGTCAACGATTACATTCCAGCAGACCGTATCTCTCCACAATGTCACGATTGCCAATGCTGCAAACATGATAAGACAATTACTCGCTTGCTAAGCTCAATGTTAAAAGTGCATTCTGCCGAATTCCTGTCCGCCCGGAGGAGTGGCCCTTGTTGATCCGCTGGCAGGATCAATACTTTTATGAGAGTGTCCTGCCCTACAGACTGTACTACGCTCCAGTTCAGCTATATGGAACTCTGTCGCATCCGCCAGTGAATGGATTATGTGTGAGCAGTTTGCACTCCCTCGCCTGTTGCATTACGGGGAATACCTCATCTAACATTACTCCCTCAATGCATGCTCTGGACTTGTGTTAGCTCGCCAGCAACTTGCTACTCGGCGGCGTGCGTTTATATACCTTGATGTTTCTCTGGCGTCAGCAAAAGTGCTTCCTCGATGTATGCTCTGGACCTGTGTTAGCTTGCCAGCAACTCGGCGCCGCGCGTTTACATACCTCGGTGTTTCTCTGGCGTCAGCAAAAGTGGAGGGTCCAGCCCACGTCCTGACGTTTATCGGCGTCATCCCGGACACCCGCGCGCTAACATCAGTCTGCCTAAGGACGAACTTGCCAAGCTTCGCGACCTCCTACGGGCCACTCTTCACACAGCTTCAACTACCCAGTGTCAACTCGAGTCTCTTCTCGGAAAGCTCTCGTTTGCTACAAGAGTGATAGTCCCAGGACGCACATTGCAGATTGTGGCAGCTTCAACTACCCAATGTCAACTCTAGTCCCTTCTGTGAAAGCTCTCGTTTGCTACAAGAGTGATAGATCCAGGACGCACATTGCAGATTGTGGTCACTTGCCAACTGGTACGGGCAGCCGTATTACCTGATCAAGCTCTCCGAAGAGTGCCTCGAAGATCTTCGTTGATGGCCTGAGCTCCTGGATTAGTAGAACGGCTCGTTCTTCTTCCTACACCCTAAGTGGACGCCGTCCCCCGACTTGCTGCTATTCACTGATGCAAGTGGTGCACTTGGCTGGTGCGCATACAATTGCGACCGGGGATAGGGCGATGGACAGTCAATCAAGCAGACCAGCAATCGCAAAGAGTGGTTTGCAATTATGGCAGCCAGCGGGCACCTGGGAAAGCTAGCGGCATTAGCTGCGAATGCCAATCGATCGGCATTTACAGCAACTGCGAGGATAGTGCTCATCAGTTGTGGCTTTGGCCTGGCGTTGTGGAGTTTGGATTGAGGTGTTTTCCTTTCTTCCTCTTCCTTCCCCTCTTTCTTGTCCCTTTGGTTTTTAGCTTTTTTATTTTTTCACTTTCTTTTTGCTGTCCCACCCATGGAAATATCTTCCCGGTGGGTCTGGCTTATCGCCTTCGAAAGAAGTGAATAAAAGAGACATAATAATATAACCTGTCTTAGGAGACTACCTGTCTTTCACAACTATTTGCTCGTGTAGGAACTGTTCTGAAAGCGAACATTGTTTCGCAATCACCTGTCTTGCATGACAGCTGTATTCTGCCCATCTACTACTACTGATGCACCATTTTTCACAGACTTTTCCCCATCGTGCCAATTTCACATTGTGGAAACTATATGTCCAAACATGCAAAATTTGCTTGTGGCTAAAAACATGCGGCAATGTCATGTAAACACTGCTGTGGGTCGCACTGTTTCAGATTTCCTTGTCAAGTATGGCTGCGGTGACTGGTCCAGCTGGTCAGAATGCACAGTGACCTGTGGCGGAGGAACACAAACAAAAACTAGACGATGCGTATTTGCGAATGGAAGTTATGATGACCTTCAACCCCAGGAGTGTAGTACACAACAGTGCCCAGGTAATCAGTTCACATTTCTAGTTTTCTACATTGTATGGATGTGTGTTCCATGCTAAGGCCTTTTCGTAAGCAACATAAATAACAGGTTTCAACTTAACAGAAAAAGTGATGACCTTTAGTAGCCACGTGCTGAATACACATTGATCGATCGACCTACTTGTTGAGACAATTTCACGATGGCCTATTTACTTTAATTTGAGACAACATTGGTTCCTATCCGCATTTCCAGGAGTTTGCTTTTCTCAACAAGTCGTCGAAGTCACTCGGATGAATTTTTAGTCATGGCCCAAGAGTGGGTCGGTGCCACGCGATTTTCATCAGATGGTGAGAGAAATCCCATGGCAGATCAAAGAAATTATATTCGGGGGGCATGAAACAAAGAAATTATATTCGGGGGGCATGAAACAAAGAAATTATATTCGGGGGGCATGAAACAAAGAAATTATATTCGGGGGGCATGAAACAAAGAACTTATATTCGGGGGGCATGAAACAAAGAAATTATATTCGGGGGGCATGAAACAAAGAAATTATATTCGGGGGCATGAAACAAAGAAATTATATTCGGGGGGCATGAAACAAAGAACTTATATTCGGGGGGCATGAAACAAAGAAATTATATTCGGGGGGCATGAAACAAAGAACTTATATTCGGGGGGCATGAAACAAAGAAATTATATTCGGGGGGCATGAAACAAAGAACTTATATTCGGGGGGCATGAAACAAAGAACTTATATTCGGGGGGCATGAAACAAAGAAATTATATTCGGGGGGCATGAAACAAAGAAATTATATTCGGGGGGCATGAAACAAAGAAATTATTATTATTATTATTATTAATTCAACATCTCCTGGCTCGTCAGAAGACTGCCAATATATATGAGAAGTCGGGTGGTAGCCAACCACGGCGAACTGATATTTATTCAATTATATTCGGGGGGCATGAAACAAAGAAATTATATTCGGGGGGCATGAAACAAAGAAATAATATTCGGGGGGCATGAAACAAAGAAATAATATTCGGGGGGCATGAAACAAAGAAATAATATTCGGGGGGCATGAAACAAAGAAATTATATTCGGGGGGCATGAAACAAAGAACTTATATTCGGGGGCATGAAACAAAGAAATTATATTCGGGGGGCATGAAACAAAGAAATAATATTCGGGGGGCATGAAACAAAGAAATTATATTCGGGGGGCATGAAACAAAGAACTTATATTCGGGGGGCATGAAACAAAGAAATTATATTCGGGGGGCATGAAACAAAGAAATAATATTCGGGGGGCATGAAACAAAGAAATTATATTCGGGGGGCATGAAACAAAGAAATTATATTCGGGGGGCATGAAACAAAGAAATTATATTCGGGGGGCATGAAACAAAGAACTTATATTCGGGGGGCATGAAACAAAGAACTTATATTCGGGGGGCATGAAACAAAGTCTGGCCTACTGCCTGTAAGTGGTGCTGGTGCTTCAATATCCTGAACCCTGTTCTCTGTGATTCAATATCCTGAACCCTGTTCTCTGTGATTCAATATCCTGAACCCTGTTCTCTGTGATTCAATATCCTGAACCCTGTTCTCTGTGATTCAACATCCTGAACCCTGTTCTCTGTGATTCAATATCCTGAACCCTGTTCTCTGTGATTCAACATCCTGAACCCTGTTCTCTGTGATTCAATATCCTGAACCCTGTTCTCTGTGATTCAACATCCTGAACCCTGTTCTCTGTGATTCAATATCCTGAACCCTGTTCTCTGTGATTCAACATCCTGAACCCTGTTCTCTGTGATTCAATATCCTGAACCCTGTTCTCTGTGATTCAACATCCTGAACCCTGTTCTCTGTGATTCAATATCCTGAACCCTGTTCTCTGTGATTCAATATCCTGAACCCTGTTCTCTGTGATTCAATATCCTGAACCCTGTTCTCTGTGATTCAACATCCTGAACCCTGTTCTCTGTGATTCAATATCCTGAACCCTGTTCTCTGTGATTCAATATCCTGAACCCTGTTCTCTGTGATTCGATCGAGGATAATATTATTTTTTGTAAGCCAGATGATAGTTGGACGTTTCTTATCACTTTTTATACTTTCGCCGCTAGAATATTTCTTCCACTTAGCAGCCAGTTTTCCAGATATCTCATAATTATGGTAAAACTGTAAACGGTCAAGGTGTTGCAAGGCGCAGCATTTCTTATCATTTTGAAATGGACAGTACCGAGGTCACCAAATGGGCAAATTTGTAGGGAAGCACATCCAAAAATGCAAGTTCCACTCTGTGCAGAGATTTTTCATTCTGGCTCAGGACGGTGATTTCGGTCCGCATTGTTGGACTCCTATTCTCTTTATGGATGGATTTCCCCAAGTTGCATATCCTGTGTGTTGTTTCTATTTTCATTTTTCAGGCTGGAGCGCGTTTAGTGCAGTTACGCCGTGCATTGTATGTGGTGCTCAGCAAGGAAAGCAACTACATGCCAGAAAATGTCTTTTGACGGGAGTTGATGCAGACAACGAATGTGCAGAGTCCAGCTTTGATTGGAGAGATTGCAATGAACAAACAACACTGGGATGTACATTAATGCAAGGTGAGTGAACATGCAATGTCAACATTGCAAACAATATTGATACCAGCAAGGGTACATACTGTAAAAGCAGAACATTTCGGTGGTGTTTTATTTTCGGTAACTTCGGTGCCCACAATTTTTACCGAAAATAAACGCACCGAAAATGTCGGTACTACCGGTACTGTGTACATTTAGTACTGGTACACTTATCTGGAAAATGGGTTTTACCGAAAATTTCCCTCCACCGAACCGCCAATTTTGGAGAATACCGTCCTAAAATATTACACAACCGAAAATTTCTGCTTTTACAGTAATCAACAGTGCCGGTGCAACTCGATGGTCCCCCGACCCAAGGCTGTCTTGCAGTCCATTTTTGCGGCATTTTGACCCACTAATGCCATCAAGCATAGCATGAGATCAAAGTACCATTAACCTGGACATCGTATCTACGATAGTCAAAGTAGAACAACTGGCGATAGACCCATGAATCCTGAAGCTGATAAACTCGCACAGTATCTACAAAACTAGCGTGGGGAAAGCATGCATACTTGATCAAATTTCTGCCAAAGAATGCCACAATACAAGTTTTCGCCGTGAGTGAACCCATCGCGGCTCAAGATAGGAGTTGTACACTCTTGGTTATGAACTCTTGATATCAGTTGGATTTGGTGATAAAAAATTAGCATCAACTGTGCTTGGTCAGTATCGGGTTAGGAAGTCTCAGAATGAGTTACAAATCCCAAGCTGCTTGTCCACTTGTGTTTGTGTGTCTGTATTGGGTTGGAATTATGTTTTGAGGTCAACAAATGCCTGTGTAGTCTGGTGTTGGAACTATAGTCACACTCACAGGGGCGTCAGAAGGTATTCTTGTGTAGTGCGGTCAACCGTGAGAGGTGCATCTTATGTAGAGGGTCAACCGGCCCTCCGTGGAAATTTGTGTAATCTAGAAATTTATTATTAATGGAGTTTTTAAGCCACATGGTGTCTTGGACTAGAATGGCTACCGTCAATATGGTACAAGTAGTAGGCGCAGCAGGCCCGATGCCCTTGCTGGGTGTTTGAATCCTTTTCTGTGCTAGATCCTGTAAAACAATGTATTTTTAGGGGAACACTGACAGTGATATATTCCCATCCTCATCTTTGTGGTTCATAATGTAACTGAAGAATGTCATCCGATGCACCATGACGATGTGAAAGGAGATTTAGGAATTAAGCAGTCGTACTAGTCCTACTATGTTACTGCATAGTCTATGCCAAGAGGTGTATGCATTTCTCAGTTTCTTCTGAACACCATGGATAGGTAAAATTACCCACACCACGTGTATAGTGGCAGATGCCAGCTTGGTTGTGAGGAGAATAAAATAAATAATAAAACAGAAGAGGTTGGTGCGACTTCGGCGATAGAAGGGGAAGGTTTTGTTTTTTCACGGCTGAGCGTAGCGAAAGAGTGCAAAAAACGTATTTTTCACTCACAAATATTTTCGTGCATTTGCTCTTGTTCTGCGCAACTCCGTTGAACCTGCCATCGTGGTCTTTGTTTTCGTGAGTGTGATTGCTCTGGTAGACCACTACCCCATGTACTGAACAGTCGCTTTGTGAGTGAAAAAGTGTGTTGCTCCCTAGATGGGAGCTCGCGGCTTTTCTGCCGACTTGAATTCTCACTTGACTGACTCACGACTGCCATCCAGAGCACACGAGATGTCCATTCCGCAAACCTGCAAGAAAGCACCACTCCCTGCTCAATACACAGTGTTTCGGGGAATTCACCCCTCATCAGTTGAGCTTGAGTAGGCTGAGGAAGATTGTGCCTGAAGAGCACCACTTATATAGTGCTCTCCAGGCACAAACATCACCAGGGATACAAACTTACAGAGACGCTCCGATATATATGTTGGACTCAGTAGAGCGTCCAGCCCCTATATGATGTCCAACCCCTATATAGAGTCCATTGGTCAAAAATCCACTGTACAGAGTCCAAACTTGGAATCAACTGTGAGCTCAAAGTTTAGATGAACATCACTCCCTGTATAGAGTCCAGCCAATTGGCTTCACCCCTATATAGTGTCCATTGGTCCAAAATCAACTGTACGGAGTCCAAACTTTGAAATCAACTATAAAGAGTCTTTATCATATGTAGACAACACTTCCTGTATAAAGTCCAGCCAATTAGGCATCCCCTATCCAGAGTTCGAAATTAGACATAGGATCTGCTGTAAGCAGTGAATATTAACCAGAAAACGGCCTCTCCCTTTAATCCTTTACATCATTCACTTCTCAAGATAAAAAAATTATTGAAGCGCCACTGCAGCCACTTCATTACATGAAAAACCCTACAAACACCATCCTCAAATCAAGTGGTCTCTTCGCAGACGCTGCAAATTACAATATCTCAATCATGTAGTGTTGCCAAATTATTGTGCACGCACACGCACACACACACACACACATTCACACACCCACACAACGCCAAGAAAATACCTAGAAAAAAACAAGAATCGAAAGATAATAATGGAGAGCCAAGGATTAATTATTTGTTTTCAAATTATTGTGCGTGCGCACACACACACACACACACACAAACTTATGCAACGCCAAGAAAACACCAAGAAAAGAGTAGAGACACAATACACACGCAACTCCAACAGCCATGCAAACGTCCACCCATTTACACGTAAAGTCAAGAGGGATAACAAATAGTTATACGAAACGAATGCATACGTGGCCGTGGGCGGATGCACGCACGTTTACATACATGTACATGTAGTAGTGTAAGAGAGTAACATAGTGCAGTAGTCAGCATAATACTAGCACATGCTGAGACTCCAATAGCAAGCTTCACCATTGCTCATGGCCATGCAAATGTTCAGCAGCACTCAGTTCCGCAAGCTTCCGAAGATCAGCACACCTGCAACAAATAGATAGCACAAGGATACGCTTATTACCGTAATGATGCATGGGAGCACACAACTACCAAGTTCTCAACGAATGTGATGCTCAATGAAAATCCATCCACTCAAAGACTTGTGAACAGGTGACGGTGGGGACAATAATCTATTAGTAATACGAGGAATAAGATCGTTTGTGCACACTCAAGACGCACAGACACACCACCATACAGGTAGTGTACACAGCGTTTCGTTTTGAAATGAGATGATTTGAACAATCTGTACAGCGTTGCCGTCAGTCAGTCTTCCCCGAGATGGAAATGCAATGATTTGTTGTCACCAGGCAGTTTCACTGACACAGTGTCATGTTTGTCACATCAAAACGGTTACTTCATGGAATACGAGTACATGTATTAGCTTGAGAAGCTTTTTCTTGTCATCGGCATACAATAAATCCTCCTACTACTACTACTAGTACACTGGCGCTGCGTCTGTGGATCCCATTGTATTTGACATCATACTAGAGCCTAGTAGAGGAAGAGTGTCGTGGAGTTCACATAATTATCATAGGGATAAAAATACATTTTTCATGAAATAAAATAATAATTGATGATATCTAGACGATCGTATATGATTGATGCAAAGTCCTTACAGTCCTTGAGGACTATTACGAAGTGGTTGATTACTTTTAGGGCATTCATTCAAGCAACATCAAACAAACGCGATACGCTCCTTGAAAATGGAAAAAAATTCAAGCATATTACGACAGAACAGCAGACCAATCGAAACGAGTAAAAGCTTCCTTACCTCAGTCATCGTCCTGCCATGTAGCTGGACAGCCTTTTGACACGGTGGTACAGGCAGCTCTTTTCCAGACAAACAGGATATCCTTGTGGCGTCGAACGAAAGAGAGTGTCAGTGTATCTGACGTGCTGAACTTTTCTCGTTCTCCGCTTTCTGCGTAAAGTTTCATCCCTCGCTCTGATGAAACCGTTCAAACGTCTTACTGGCAGCGATGGCCAGCCAAACAGGGATCCTTGTGGCGTCGAACGAAAGAGAGTGTCGGTGTACCTGACTCGTCAGATTTGAACTGTGCTGAACTTTTCTCGTTCTGCAATTTCTGCTTTCATCCCGCGCACTGATGAAACGTCTTCCGAGAACCACAAGACGCTTTCCAGATTTGATTTTGAACGTCTCATTATCCTCCTTGGTTACCTCGAGACAGATTACTGTCAGCAACTGCACAGCAGAACTGGCAGCCATGGCTGAAGTGAAGAAAGGAATGCGCTGCCACGAGGCAAGCAAAACTGAAAAGGTGTTTGTTCTCTTTCGGGCACAACACACAGGACGGCGTGACTGGATAAACTGGACTCCTGGACCGTGAATAGGGGACTTGTAGAAAAAGTGTACTCCTTATAGGGGATTGCGCGGCAGGATGAAGCTGATCAAAACTGAGTGGACTCCTGGACTCTGTATACTGTAAAAGCAGACATTTTCGGTGGTGTTTTATTTTCGGTAACTTCGGTGTCGACAATTTCTACCGAAAATAAAACGCACCGAAAATTTCGGTACAACCGGTACTGTATACATTTAGGTACTAGTACATCTACCTGGAAAACGGGTTTTACCGAAAATTTCTCTCTACCGAACCGCCGATTTTGGTGAATACCGAAAATATTACACCACCGAAAATTTCTGCTTTTACAGTAGTGGATTTTGGACGAATGGATATATGTAGGACTCAGTATAGAGTCCATGCACTATATGATGTCCAGCACCCTATATAGAGTCCATTAGTCCAAAATCCACTATACAGAGTCCAAAAGTCCACTCAGTTTTGATCAGCTTCATCCTGCCGCGCAATCCCCTATAAGGAGTACACTTTTTCTACAAGTCAAGTCCCCTATTCACGGTCCAGGAGTCCAGTTTATCCAGTCACGCCGTTCTGTGTGTTGTGCCCGAAAGAGAACAAACACCTTTTCAGTTTTGCTTGCCTCATGGCAGCGCATTCCTTTCTTCGCTTCAGCCATGGCTGCCAGTTCTGCTGTGCAGTTGCTGACAGTAATCTGTCTCGAGGTAACCAAGGAGGATAAGGAGACGTTCAAAATCAAATCTGGAAAGCGTATTGTGGTTCTCTGAAGACGTTTCATCAGTGCGCGGGATGAAAGCAGAAATTGCAGAACGAGAAAAGTTCAGCACAGTTCAAATCTGACGAGTCAGGTACACTGACACTCTCTTTCGTTCGACGCCAAGGATCCCCTGTTTGGCTGGCCATTGCTGCCAGTAAGGCGTTTGAACGGTTTCATCAGAGCGAGGGATGAAAGCAGAAAGCGGAGAACGAGAAAGTTCAGCACAGTTCCGATCTGACGAGTCAGATACACTGACACTCTCTTTCGTTCGACGCCACAAGGATACCCTGTTTGACTGGACAAGAGCTGCCTGTATCACCGTGTCGAAAGGCTGTCCAAGTACATGGCAGGACGATGACTGAGGTAAGGAAGCTTTTACTCGTTTCGATTGGCCTGCTGTTCTGTCGTTATGCTTGAATTTTTTTCCATTTTCAAGGATCGTATCGCGTTTGTTTGATGTTGCTTGAATGAATGCCCTAAAAGTAATCAACCACTTCGTAATAGTCCCTCAAGGACTGCAAGGACTTTGCATCAATCGTATACGATCGTCTAGCTATCATCAATTATTATTTTATTTCATGACAAATGTATTTTTATCCCTGTGATAATTATGTGAACTCCACGACACTCTTCCTCTACTAGGCTCTAGTATGATGTCAAATACAATGGGATCCACAAACGCAGTGCCAGTGTACTAGTAGTAGTAGTAGTAGTAGTAGTAGTAGTAGGAGGAGGAGGATTTCTTGTATGCCGATGACAAGAAAAAGCTTCTCAAGCTAATATATGTACTCGTATTCCATGAAGTAACCGTTTTGATGTCACACACATGACATTGTGTCAGTGAAACTGCCTCGTGACAACAAATCATTGCATTTCCATCTTGGAGAAGACTGACTGACTGCAACGCTGTACAGATTGTTTAAATCATCTCATTGCAATTTAGTTGCAGTGGAGTGAAACACTGTGTACACTACATGTATGGTGGTGTGTCTGTGCGTCTTGAGTGTGCACAAACGATCTTATTCCTCGTATTACTAATAGATTATTGTCCCCACCGTCACCTGTTCACAGGTCTTTGTGTGGATGGATTTTCATTGAGCATCACATTCGTGTGTGCGCGTTCACAATAATTTGAAAACAAATAATTAATCCTTGGCTCTCCATTATTCTCTTTCGATTCTTGGTTTTTTTCTAGGTATTTTCTTGGCGTTGTGTGGGTGTGTGGGTGTGTGCATGTGTGTGTGTGCGTGCACAATAATTTGGCAACACTACATGATTGAGATATTGTAATTTGCAGCGTCTGCGAAGAGACCACTTGATTTGAGGATGGTCCTCGTAGGGTTTTTTCATGTAATGAAGTGGCTGCAGTGGCGCCTCAATACTTATTTTTTATCTTGAGAAGTGAATGATGTAAAGGATTAAAGGGAGAGGCCGTGTTCTGGTTAATATTCACTGCTTACAGCAGATCCTATGTCTAATTTCTAACTCTGGATAGGGATGCCTAATTGGCTGGACTTTATACAGGGAGTGTTGTCCACATAAAGACTCCTTATAGTTGATTTCAAAGTTTGGACTCCATACAGTTGATTTTGGACCAATGGACTCTATATAGGGGTGAAGCCAATTGGCTGGACTCTATACAGGGAGTGATGTCCATCTAAACTTTGAGCTCACAGTTGATTCCAAGTTTGGACTCTGTACAGTGGATTTTGGACCAATGGACTCTATATAGGGGTTGGACATCATATAGGGGCTGGACGCTCTACTGAGTCCAACATATAATCAAACAGAGTTGCCAGTTTAATATGTGCATGTTTATCTTCTGATGAAGGTTTGCTGCATATTAGTACCCGCAAAAGTGACGACCACCATTCATCACTATGAGCATGCCTCTGCTTCTGTACAGGGGTGACATTGGCAGAAGTACCAGAAAAAACTTGTACAGATATAGACGGCAATCTCACGTATTCTCTGACACACCGGAAATGCATGGATGAGCTGAACACATCAGTATCGTTAGATGTTTGTCGGCGAGAAATTGTCCAGTTGTGCTCACCCATACATGGTAAGATGTGACAGAATTAGTTTCATCTTGTTTGATCTCCATGTCTGGGTTGACCCCTCAGCGGCCTTAACAGTATAGACATGTACTCTGAGATCAATTCACCAATGTACACTAATGATTATGTGATATCTGACTAATATCATTGGCTGTACAGTGTGGTTTTCAAGCAAATGCTGCAAAGCTAACCATTCGTTCTCGTGTCAATTCTCGATTTTCAATTTTGCCATGTGAATGAATTTCCCAACTCGCTATCCCAATACAGGGGACGTCTTTTGGATACAGTTTGACGGGAAATGGTTGTTGTCACACCCAGCAGCCTTCCTTTCACTATACCGCTGGCTGAATTCCAATTATCGAGGTTTGTGAAGTATTTGTCTTGTGCCGCTAGCAATCTTCAGATGTGACGTTAGACGTTCGTGATGATTTGTTGGCTTTCACTTGGCGTCTACTTTTCACCTATCTTTGTCACTACCTCAGTACCATTTGTGACGTGTAAACTAGCGCAACCTATTCTTGTGTACCTCTCCTTCTCATTGTGAATGATTTAGCACTTGTGATAGTTGTGTCTGGTAGGGTTCAGAACACCTCCATTCTGCACTATTCCTTTTGTGTTGATATGTCACATATGTGAGTTAGTTGAGTGTTTACACCTCAGTACGCCAATATCTTTTCTATAAAATAGCATTATTCAGCTAAACCCCTTCATTCAACAACTGCTTCTCCTCTGATGAGTTCCCCGTTACTATCTCTATGGAACGAAACAAGACTTGTCAGGAGTACTACTACTTGCTTTCGTGGAGTGTGGCTGGTGAACTGTTCGTGCTGTGATCTGCAAGCCGCGTCGTATGGTCTCGTCGGGTCAAAATGAAAAACCTACTACTACTGTATTTGACGGACCTATTGAAGATGGCACAAAGAATCATGACTTCTCCTGGACCAGGAAATCTGCCATTGACCAGAGGAAGGATTTGATCTGCTGCTTGGATTTTAGCGTTAGACGCCAACCTTGTAGTCAAGATCAGGATGGATACGTCGCCTCAGCAGCCCACAGTTCTATGTCACACCCAGCAGCCTTCCTTTCACTATACCGCTGGCTGAATTCCAATTATCGAGGTTTGTGAAGTATTTGTCTTGTGCCGCTAGCAATCTTCAGATGTGACGTTAGACGTTCGTGATGATTTGTTGGCTTTCACTTGGCGTCTACTTTTCACCTATCTTTGTCACTACCTCAGTTCCATTTGTGACGTGTAAACTAGCGCAACCTATTCTTGTGTACCTCTCCTTCTCATTGTGAATGATTTAGCACTTGTGATAGTTGTGTCTGGTAGGGTTCAGAACACCTCCATTCTGCACTATTCCTTTTGTGTTGATATGTCACATATGTGAGTTAGTTGAGTGTTTACACCTCAGTCCGCCAATATCTTTTCTATAAAATAGCATTATTCAGCTAAACCCCTTCATTCAACAACTGCTTCTCCTCTGATGAGTTCCCCGTTACTATCTCTATGGAACGAAACAAGACTTGTCAGGAGTACTACTACTTGCTTTCGTGGAGTGTGGCTGGTGAACTGTTCGTGCTGTGATCTGCAAGCCGCGTCGTATGGTCTCGTCGGGTCAAAATGAAAAACCTACTACTACTGTATTTGACGGACCTATTGAAGATGGCACAAAGAATTATGACTTCTCCTGGACCAGGAAATCTGCCATTGACCAGAGGAAGGATTTGATCTGCTGCTTGGATTTTAGCGTTAGACGCCAACCTTGTAGTCAAGATCAGGATGGATACGTCGCCTCAGCAGCCCACAGTTCTATGTCACACCCAGCAGCCTTCCTTTTCACTATACCGCTGGCTGAATTCCAATTATCGAGGTTTGTGAAGTATTTGTCTTGTGCCGCTAGCAATCTTCAGATGTGACGTTAGACGTTCGTGATGATTTGTTGGCTTTCACTTGGCGTCTACTTTTCACCTATCTTTGTCACTACCTCAGTACCATTTGTGACGTGTAAACTAGCGCAACCTATTCTTGTGTACCTCTCCTTCTCATTGTGAATGATTTAGCACTTGTGATAGTTGTGTCTGGTAGGGTTCAGAACACCTCCATTCTGCACTATTCCTTTTGTGTTGATATGTCACATATGTGAGTTAGTTGAGTGTTTACACCTCAGTACGCCAATATCTTTTCTATAAAATAGCATTATTCAGCTAAACCCCTACATTCAACAACTGCTTCTCCTCTGATGAGTTCCCTGTTACTATCTCTATGGAACAAAACAAGACTTGTCAGGAGTACTACTACTTGCTTTCGTGGAGTGTGGCTGGTGAACTGTTCGTGCTGTGATCTGCAAGCCGCGTCGTATGGTCTCGTCGGGTCAAAAGGAAAAACCTACTACTACTGTATTTGACGGACCTATTGAAGATGGCACAAAGAATTAATAAGTACAATAGTACGTTTTGTTTGACACGTGCATTCGGGTGCCAGAGGGTTCTTCCTACATATCGGCTTTAACAATGCCAATGTTCAAAATATTCATACATACTTCCATGTAGGGAGCAACACACAATTCCCTTTTCCTTGGTTTGAGGAAAATATTCAAAATGATCGAATCTACTTGGTCCGGCTCATCGCAATTGTCGCTTATCTCTCGCCATTAAGAACAGGAGTTTTTTTACCGCTCTGTGAAATTTCCAACAGGCATAGTGAGGAAGCATGATACATGAATACTCTCCGCCACAAGAAAAAAATTCAGCAATGGAATCAGGTGAAGCGAGTCGAAGAAAGGAAGCAAGGTAAGCAAAATGCACGAAATAAATCAGCGAAGAAGCGCGTTCTTGCACTCACACTAGTAATACAGGTCCAGAGTTCATTCAACTCTGCATCTATCGAGCTGCGCCGTTATATGGGCTGACATTTGTGTCTAGCTGCTAGCTGGCGTAGACTGGTAGAGTATCTTTTGCGTTCTCAGCCTATCCTATGGCAGCAATGGGAAAGAAACAGTTGTGGCTGTCACTTCGGTGCTTGAAGGAACCGTGGGCAGTGTGACCTGTGTGTCACCATAGTGTGTTTCAACAAAGCCTTCGACGCTGGCCATGACTCTTGTAATACGGCTGCTAGGTCCACCAAGAGAAGGAACAACCAACACGTTGGCCGGGCGCATCGCATCAAAAACACCTTTCTTCTTCAGCATGACGCTCATACTCCTCTTCCGTGCACGCGTGCCTGTCACGCTCTCCAGGCCAGGATGTCAGTTGCCCCGGCTACAGTTCTGGTCCTCGGGTCGCTGCGCTTGGCTTTTGGCAACACAGACAGTGAATGGCCAGATTCCCACTTCCCAAAAACTCAAATACATCGCGATTCAAAGCGCTAGTCGCGATCATTTTTCTTTGGTGCCTCCTTTGATCTTGCCATCACGATCTCCCAAGCCAAAGTTCGTTAGATATCGTGATTGGACTGGGTTTTACCTGTCAAAAAGTGCTTGGGGGATAGGCGACAATTGTGATGAGCCGGACCAAGTATCTGATTATGTGGCTAATTACTTGGGTAGAAAAAAATGCTGTAGTAAAGACTGTGTGAAAGAGGCAGCAAATTTTTGTTTGACACATGCACGGTTCGGGTGCCAAAGGGTTCTTCTTACATATCGGCTTTATTAACAATGCCAATATTCAAAGTATTCCTTGGTTTATTGTGTGTTGCTCTGTACGTTGGAGCTTTTGCTATTCCTGCCGACTTGAATTCTCACTTGACTGACTGACGACTGCCGTCCAGAGCACACGAGAAGTCCATCGAACCTTCCACTCGGCAAACCTGCGAAAAAGCACCACTCCCTGCTCAATACGCATAACTTGTTCCAACTTGAAGGAGTGTCAAGCTTCCGCTTTCTAGATGCGGTTCTATATGAACTACGGGAAACACCATTCTCTTAACACTGCGCCAGGTTTGAACGGGTACATTGATGAATCGTTCACTGTGTACCCATGAATATGTTATATTTCTTTGCAACATATTGCCAGCTCAAGCGATAGGAGAATGTGCTAAGCCAAGTGACCTAGCTGATGGTGCGTACCACTATGTAGCTAGTGACCGAGTTGAATATGTATGCAACCATGGTTACAAGATGGCGACCAATGAGACCGATAACAACTTGCACGTCAAGAAATGTATAAATGGAGAGTGGATTCCAGACACAGTGATGTCATGTGAACGTAAGATTAAAAAGTCCCATTTGTGCGTGTGCATGCATGTATGAATGTGCGTGTGAGCGTGCGTTTGTGCGTGCGTGCGTGTACGCGTGTGTGCGTGTGTGGTATGTGTGTGTCTGTCTGTCTGTGGGGGGGGGGGGGGAGCTGTATCCCTGTTGCATGCTCGTGTTGATATACATCTAGCATCATCAGTTGCATTGTCTGACTGGTTCATGAGATGTGAGGGACCCAGGTATTCCCCTGATTTTGCTGTCAAAAGTGCTATAGTCCGCAGTTTGGGCTGAGAATAAGCATGATTGTAGAGACGGTTTTAGATAGATGGGAGGGACAATCTCCGCTCTTGTCATGTTATTTGTCTCTTTTTATCATACCTCTCTGGCTGAGAAAACTAGCTTGTTTCTCTCTGCTTTACTCCCAGCTGTGACATGTCCCGATGTAAAGGATATACTGAATGGAGATTTATCCGTGGATTCAGCGTATCCAGAAGGCCCACTTCCCTTGCACAGCACTGTTATCTACAGCTGTCACAATGGCTATGAGTTTTCAGATGGAACCAAGGTTCTTACTAGAGTTTGCCAAGCCAATGGACATTGGTCCGGTCAACAGCCAGCGTGCGAGGGTAAGACTGTTACTACATGTACATGTACGTCCTGTACTTAGAATTTGTTCGAGTCATTTCAATAAAACCTTCGTAAAAATTGCACTTCAGCTGATTCTGTTCGTTTCAATCCTTGGGCACGGTTAGGTAGAAAGACATTTATTAGAGACGGAGAGACAGACGAACTAAAAGACTACATTATGGAAGAGAGAGATCGAGTGGGAGTAAGTATGGGGTGCTTCCAGGCCAGCTTGGGAAAGTTTGTAGATTGTGCGGGAGGAAGTCCCTAACATATCGATCAATTATGAGGGGAGGGGTGTCCTTTTTAAATTGCTCTGCTAGCAGCACATAAGGGGTACTGAAGCCGGTGTGGATGATCAGGCTTTGGCTGGATGACTTTTCACTCAACATTGTCATCTGTTGCCTGTGGTGGAGGCATCAAACATTTGAAACAGCGTGCCTAGTTGTCAATAGCATTCACGTGTGCTGTACTGGTCAGATCAGTTCTACATGATGTGCAATGTGCCTGCTCAGTGGGATTTTTCGAAAGGCTACCGTGAATCTGTAAGTGCACAGCTGGTCTGCTCTGCACAACTCGACGGCTTTGCCAGCCGCTTATCTCATGGAAACACTTCTTCAGCCAACCAAACTCATACTCGAGAATGCTCAGATCCTGTTCGCTTCATTCATGTCATCCTATGAAAGTTACTGTTACCAAAATTTTCTGTCATGTTATTCAATTTCTATTTGTGTTGCTTTTTTGTACTCTTTTCAGGAGTTTCATGCTCTGAATACACTGCTCCGGAACATGGTTTTTTGCTTCAACCTCAGCTTAAATACCAGCATCCATACACTGTCCACATTGCTTGTGACTGTGGCTACGCACGTCAAGGTCTGTCGTATAGTGAATGCTTGAGCAATGGCTTGTGGAGTGATGCAAATACACCAATTCAATGTATGGGTAAGTGTTAAAAGGTGAAGTGAAAAGCAAATGCAAAGCAAGCACCAGAGAAACATTATAAGCATTCCCTCTCTTTCTTTCTGTTTTTCTATTTTCTGCCAAATTCTAAACATAGCG